GTTAGCATACAGGCATACTAGGTACAGTAAGTAAATAAGTGTGCATGTATGTTTATACCAGATGTGCCAGGGTTTGTCTTTGATGTTCTCCAAACACAACATTTGTGAGACCTTGACAGAAGACATAGCGTCCCGCAGATCCATCTTGTTGGCAAAGAACAATACTGGTATCTTTTTGCAGCGGATATCTGGGTAATAAACCAAAACATCATGACATTAAGAGTATGAAAGGCTTTTTAATTTTGAGTTTATCAATAAGGAATCAAGCAGTATCAGCAGAGAGTTTATAGTTTGTGTGAATATATATCAACAATAGGAAGTTGTACCATATTCGACAATGTGCCTTGATGCCAACTAGCATGTTTTTATTCAACCGAAGCTAACTGTGACTTCAATGATTTCTCCGTTTGTTTTCTTGAGGGTATGCCAATAAAATAAACCTAAGTAGAACTGAAAACGCATGAACTCTTAGCCTTTAATTAAGTCATATCCACTGAAGGGACTGGGAAACAACATTTCTTCAATGAGGTGAGGCAAGATTAGTGAGGTTTGTCTTAACTTTAGCAATGAAAGCCATGACATTTCACAGCCTGGAAGATATAAGGTGGTATTTCTTCCTTTGAATCAATTCTGTTTTCATTCTCTCTGCTTGCCTGAGTTAAAAATCGAAACAAAATTAAATGAGCAGTCAACCACCAGGACTGTTCATCTTTATCTTAGAATAAATATTCACTGCCTCCTACAGTGTGCAAGATCTACAATATCTCTTTGGAAATTATTAGGTTATTAATTAAGGTGGGCCTGAAAACACAGAAACTCCGAGCCTTTTATGCCACAAAGTTTAACATTTAGACAATAGGATACTAAAAACTGAAACCTAAGACACAGCTAATAGTAATATTAATACCAAAAAAATGCTAATGTTCATTAAAACTGCATCATTTCCATTATTTCACAGTACGAACCCTGAACCACGCTTGATAATGTATTTTATAAAAGGCCACGTCAATTATGCTTTTTACTGTAAATACCAAAAACAGTATCCCTACTGTGTTTTCATACAAAAGGAGTAAAAACAGTCCAGGTGCAGGTATTTGGTACCTTCGTGATTGAGAAGAGTATCTAGCTCCTCTTTGGCAACAACCATTCTCAGTTTGTCACCACTGTCAATGACAAATATGATGGCATGGCTTTCTCTGAGGAGGACAAGGGAAGAAGTTATAATTGACACGGAGTCATGTTACCGTGACATGTTTTAATATTTGATGAGTGATGGACATGTTGTGTGTGTTTCATACTTGTAGTAATGCTCCCATAGGTTTCTATATCTGCTCTGCCCAGACATATCGAAGACTGTAAAAGACAGGCTGCATGCAGAGAGAGAGAGAGAGAGAGAGAGAGAGAGAGAAAGGCTTAGACTCATACTTATTGGTACATTACCCTCTGTAAACATGTCAAAAACTAATTATTACACAATATAAATATCTATAGAATTCTACCTTGAACTCTTGAACTTTTCAATGTTGAAGCCAATTGTTGGGACTATTTCTTGTGCCTGCGTCTGCATGCACCCACACACACAAACACAAACACAAACACACAAGAAACAGACAAGTAACAGCAAAAGTATGTCAACAAGGAAATAGTATAAGGAAAGTATGATACGGGCTTTACCTGACTAACATGTTTCCACTCTTCTGACAATGGGCCTAAATGATTCGAATGCTGAAAACAAGCAATCAGTGAATGATTGCAGTGAAATAAAGGAGATATTGACAGGACCTTCTCACAGTATTTATCAGAAATATATAACACATTTGTGTACCCACATTGCAGGACTACATACAGCACACAAAGACCTCTAAATTCCACAATAATGTTTTTACAAAGTATTCAAATACACTCACAATAAGGCCCAGTTTCATTCACTTACATTAGAAGGTTTGAGTTGGTTGATGATGGTAGTTTTGCCACTGTTGTCCAGTCCCAAACACAAAACGTTGACTTCTTTCTTCCTCAGGCCGAGCCAGCCCGAGAGTTTGTCCAGCAGCCCCATTAGACTTGACTGATGCTACACCATTAAAATTTCAACGCATCACCCCATAGATAGTCTGACTATTGCTAATTAAACATACATACAACAATGATAAACATGGCTGTGAATAGTGTTAGTTCCCAGTGCTTGCTGTGAGTAGTGTCACAAGCACAGAGATGCCGCCTGGGCATCCCAGCTTGTGACAGGTAATCCTATTAGAGTGAATTAAAGCTCTGTGAACCACCCGGTGACCTAATCATGAAGTATAGAGCTTTCCAGGCCCCCACGTTACCATACCTTACCTAAGCTAATTGGTGCCATGAACAGTCTGTTTTGTCAGTCTGTGTGTTTTACAGTAATTCAAGGAATCTTTAAATAGGTGCAATATTATAAATAACAGACACACACACACAATTGTCACTGTAAAATAGGAAAGGAGGTCAGAAATGTCTTAAAATGTGGTCGTTATGAACTTAAACTTATACTGACTTATTATAAGCCCTGGAAACAGGGGCGGGCCAAGAGAAATATTCAAGGGGTGACAAGAGAGTTCTCAATATTTGCTTGGAAAAAACCCTGAATAAAGATATTTTATGGGACATCAGAATTACATAGAAATATCTTCAGACATTTTTCAAAATACATTTTTTCTTTGTCTTTTTTTCCATTGACCTTGCCAAATGTTAATCTAAATATGAATTAATCTAAATTAAAGTCTTAAAAAATTTGACAGCATTTGACACCAAACTGGAGAGGCAGATGCCCCTCCAATCCACTACACCTCTCTAGATCGGCCCCTATCTGGAAATGTAACTATAATGGGGACATATGAGGTTTAAAAAGAGGGATGAGACCAACTCTCAGCAATATGATATCATGTGTGCACTCTGAAAGTTTTCACAATGATTTGGACTCACATAGCAGGTCTGGAGATGGTCAGTGGTCCAACAGCTCCACCTTTTGGTTATCAGTCATGTGTACGACTTTATGATAACTAACAGGTGAAGAGGTGGTAAAAGTCAGATGTATTTGACAAAAATATACATTAAAAGCAAATTAAAGAGATGAGGTTAACCAAGTGAGATTTGACTTTAAAAACAATGACATTCAGCAGCCTGAAAGATAAAAGATGGTATTTCATCCTCTTGGATCAATTCTGTTTGAATTCTCTTTATTTGCTAAAAATCGAAACAAAATTAAATGAGCAGTCAACCACCAGAACTGTTCATCTTTATTTGCAAATAAATATTCGCTGTAACTGCCTCTTACAGTGTGCAAGATCTACAACATCTCTTTGGAAATTATAGAAAAATAAAATACAAGAATTATAAGTATACTTGTACTTTGTACAAAAGAATGTCCTAACATTGCTCAGCAGTAGAACATGCTAAACAAACAGCATCTGATATTCTCCATATTCTGTAGAGGGTTGGTGACCGTGAGCATGTGTGTGTGCACAAACGTGTGTGTGTGTGTGTGTGTGTGTGTATATGTGTGCCTGGATGTGTGCGTGCACCTTTCCAACTCGTGAAGGCCTGGATGCATAATTTCACTGTGACCGAAAGGCACAGATCTCTAGATCCAGTCTGCCTTCGACATTAATCATCGAGCCCCAGTTTGTAGGAAAAACCACAGCTGTAGAGGGCCGGTCGCTCTTTTGAATATGGAATACAACTCAAACTAATGGTTAGGTCCTGTGACTGCACTGAAACTTATGAACTACTCTATAAAGTGTTTCTGTCTTGCATGGTTAACGGACTGTAAGGCATACTGTGTGTGTATGTCTGTGTGTGTAGTGTGTGATGTGTTGTTGTGTGTGTGTGTGTTACTGCTGATGGTAAAATGACATGAAGATGAGTTATGATGCTGCTGTTCTCTGTTTGTTCTCTCTGTGCCTTCTCTAAAGTAATTTACTCTCTCTGGCGGACAAGACTACATCCTTTTCTCTCTGGTTTCCATCCACCAGGGTTTAGCTTCTTTTGCTGCATCCAACTCAACTAAATAGTTATATTCTGCAGTCTGGCCTATTCACCACTGACTTAGAGAATGAAGAAAAATGCTAATTTCAATGGCAAATATCTCACAACTTGACATCATCTACTGCAGATCCAACAGTTTGCATTCCAGACTACGTTTATGTACACCTGTTTCCCATATTGCCACAAATGCCACAACCTTTACATGACCACAATGTACAGACTGGAGTCGAATCACTCTGAAATCCTTCCAGTAGCTTTGCTCCATTCGGACGGATTATTCTGCTCTGACATCTTGAATCGACTTTGTCCCAGAAGTGCAAACCACTGGCTGTATTTAGTGTGTATGCAGGCAAAAAGAAACATTGAGTGTGTGTGGAAGTATTTAAGCAAATTTCTGAAGAACCATATAAGTCCACGTTAAGTTTCCAGACAATTTCAAACATCTCCTATGTATATCTAACTTCTGTGAACATTCATATGCTAAGACAGTGGAGATTGTGTACTTTCAGGCAATGTATAACATTCACAATCCAAAAAAATCTGGCTTATCACACAACTGTGAGTACACTGGTTGCTAAAAACTGTCAGAATAGACTTGTATGGTTATTCATATGAAGGCAACGGATCCAGTTCTGCAAGCTTAGCATGTGATAATAAAAATAGGTGGAGGGTGTTGTGTGAGCCTCACGTTTTATACGTCAGCAAGAGGTCTCTCATTGCACTGATTCTTCATCTCTCTCTGAGATACTGAGGTGACTGCATAATACTGTATTGCTGATTTGGATAAAAATCTTAAATAAATAAAACATCTTAAATAAGATCCAGATTTACTAGGGCTTTCACATACAGGACTGCACATATATAGATATAAGGTTATGATAATAATTATCGATTAATTGTCTATACACTTTTAAACATTCAATAAATCTCCATAACTTGCTTCTCACGTCTTTCTTCAAGTATTAGCGTACCAGATTCTCTGGAGAGAGGGTAAACTAAAGCAATGCAAATAAAACCTCCATGATAAATTATCAAACTCCAAAATAAAAAATACTTCAAGATACTTTTTTCAGAAGACAAAACTTTTTGAATGCACACCCGATAGCAGCTACATGAGCACATAACTCGGAGCGAGAAAAGAACGACAACAGAAAGTCAAAGGATTCAGTAGATTAAGTTTGCAAATCTACATCTCTAGATATTGTTGCTCCACACAAAGTACTGCTGTTGCAACAAGGCATTACATTCCCCTAAGTGAGGGCCTGGGCCAGTCTTTAAAGTCTATCAGGCTGTAATAGTCTGGCAGAACCAGGTATACTGGGTAAGGGGTGTATGGTAGGAAAAAGTCTGTTACTACTGGATGTGAGGGAGACCATGGGGCAGTCTGCTGTGGTGGTCTGTCCAATGACCTCCTGTATGAGGGGTTAAGACTCAGGCACAGGCTGTAGACTGTCTGTCCAACGGTCTACACTTCACTTCCGTCTGGTCCTTCTATCTGTCCATCCCAGGATGTGTTAAAGGGTGTCCTCATACATGGAAACCCTTCTCCTGTTCGTGCAGTAGCTGAAGGCGGAGGGTCTGAACACTGCTGATGATCCGCCTCTGGTGGCCGATCAGCTCCACCCCAAGACGCCTGACATCTCTAGGCCGAGAGGGGAAGCACAGAAACGCACAAACACACAAAACACTTACTTAACTTGTGAGGACTTTTCATTGCCTCAAATTTTTTCAGGCAGACCCTCTGAGCCGTGTAGGCAATGTTTACACTGTCTGGTAAAAGGAAGGGATGTTTTGACAAAATAATCTCACTTTGAAATACTCCACCACATTTTATGTATGTGAGAACATGTGCACAATCACACTGAGTTTATTAAGAGACAAAATGTTTCAGTCACTATGTAAAAAAAAATCTCTCAAAAACACGTGAAACAATTAACACGTCAACAACAGATAATATCATCCTAATTTGTATTCTGCAATGTCCATCTGATCTTTTATTTTTTATATTTTTTTTCTCTATTTACGTTTGTATTTCACAGATTTTGGCATTATATTATTTTTATAATTGTAAGGTACTTACTCCCTGTAGTTTTTGTATTTTCCAACTAAGAATTTGATGGTGGACCGAAACCTTGTGTCTTTAATCAGCTCAGCGTTAACATTGTGCCTGAATTTAAAGGACAATTCCGGCGCA